AATTATTGATTTGTAGAAAACTTGAATTGGAGATTTCTTTCCCCCTTTTATCATAAATTTTGATCTAGGTTAACATCATTTAAGCCAGCTACATTCAATCTACATATAAGACCTTATGAGGTGTAGTCTTGCTTCTACCTGGTGTAAAGGTATTTCTTTACATGTACTACATGAATTCATAGCCTTATCTAGTAGTTTCTCGTAACATGCTACAGCATTTTCTAGGTCCAGCAATTTATCTAAAATGATGGCTAAATTATAGATATAAAAAACATTGTTTTTGTCGATGGAAACTGCTTTTGTCATATATTCCTTAGCTTTTATAAGGTCTCCTTTTTTTATGTAAATTAGACTTAGATTTGCTAGTAAAGGTGCGTAATTTCTATGGGTATTGTATAGTTTTAACATTTCATCTAATGCTAAGTCAGGATTATATTTTGCAACTACTATTAAAAAATTCTTCAATACCAGAGAGTCGCCAGGGTATTCTTTTAGTAATTTAGTATATATCTCTATAGCTTGTTTATAGTCTTTATTTACATAGTAGACATTACCCAATCCAATTAAAGAGTTTTTATGGTAAGGAAATTTTGTGATGATTGAATTGAGAAAAAGAATAGCTGCTTTTTTATCTCCTGACTCAAAAGACCTCTGTGCCTTTTTTAAAGTAGAACTGATACTAAAATTCTTGTCGGTGTTTTGTATTACCTTTATGTTGAATTTGTTGCTTTTTTTCTCAAGAATATTATGTTTTTTGTATTTTTTATCAACTTGTATGTACTTAGCAATATTGTTAAAGGTTTTTTGTATCTCTAAATCTTCACTTGCATAAGTATAAGAAAACTTCAACAGTATTAAAATGCAAATTAATATGTGTGACACGGTAAAAATATCAGTATCTGCCTTATATCATGAAATAGTAAAAATTGTACTAACTACGAATGAGAAGTGAACTAAAAATTTTTTATGCTGCAGTGAAAGAAGTTGGATTTAAAACAGAACTACCTCATAAAGGAAAAAGTAAAATGAGGGTAGAAAAAAAGAAAAGGTGTAGCTCTGTGAATAAAATTTTTTTGTGAGAAAATAAGGTAGAAAACAAGTAGAAGAAAGAAGGAAAAGGTGGTAGTTTAACCTAATTAAACAAAAAATTTGTTCTATATATTACATTTATTAAAATAAATTACTAGTTTAGTATAAGTTAAATAGAAAAAAAAGACTTTACTAACCAGTTAATCTTTAGTTAATATATTTATATGTAATTTGTGATAATAATATGGCGACTCAAGAAACAAAAACTGATAAACAAAAGGCACTAGACAGTGCAATTANTCTGCAACTACTATTAAAAAATTCTTCAACACCAGAGAGTCGTCAGGGTATTCTTTTAGAAATTTAGTATATATCTCTATAGCTTGTTTATAGTCTCTATTTATAGAGTAAATATTACCCAATCCAATTAAAGAGTTTTTGTGGTAAGGAAATCTTGTGAGGATTGAATTGAGAAAAAGAATAGCTGATTCTTTATCTCCCGACTCAAAATACCTCTGCGCTTTTTTTAAACTAGAACTGATGTTAAAATTCTTGTCGGTGTTTTGCACTGCCTTTATGTTGAATTTTTTTGCTTTTTTTTCAAGAATATTATATTTTTTATATTTTTTTATCAACTTGCATGTACTTAGCAATATTATCAAAGGTTTTTTGTATTTCTAAATCCTCACTCGCATAAGTGCAAGAAAACTTTAATAGTATTAAAATGCAAATTAATATATGTGACACGGTAAAATATCAGTACCCACCTTATATCACGAAATGGCAAAAATTGTACTAACTACGAATGAGAAGTGAACTAAAAATCTTTTATACTACCGTGAAAGAAATTGGATTTTAACAGAGTTACCTCATAAAAGAAAAGCTAGGCTCTATGAATAAATTTCTTTTAAGAAAAGAAGGTGAAAAAAAAAGTAAAAAAAAGAAGGAAAAAGCAGTAGCTTACCTAATGAAAGAAAAAATTTTTTCTATATATTACATTTATTAAAATAAATAACTAGCTTAGCATAAGTTAAATAGAAAAAAAAGACTTTGCTAATCAGTTAATCTTTAGTTAAAATATTATATATAATGTGTGATAATAATATGGCTACTC